TATTATTTCAGGAGAATGACGTGCGTGGCTCAGGGTCTGCCTGACCCCAGATCCCAGGTATTCAGAGGAGGGATGTCCAAGGTGAGGTCAGCTGGATGGAACAAAATAAGGAAGAGCGGACAGCAGAGAGTGCAGGCGCGACACTGCAAGTGAGGGAAAGAGGCGTGGGTTCAAGAACACACACGGAGGGCAGAACTGAGAAGAGCAGACCTCTGCACACAGCACTAAAAAATAGTCCTGATACTCTTGGTTATGAAAACAGGCCAAGGCTTGCTGGCCGGTGGCTTGTCCTTGAAGGCTGTGATAGCAAGTATCTGTCTCAACATTCCCTTGGGTTGCAATGCTTTCTCCAGTCAGTGTTAGTGATACACAGTCGGAATCCACCAGGCTGCCACCATGACTGGGCTTGGGCCTGCGTATCCTAGAATGGTGTGGAATGAGTGTTTGTGCTCCCCCCCAAAGTGTATATTGAAATCCAAACTCCTTCTGTACTGGTATTAGGAGGTGGAGCTGGCTCAGCACCCGTAGGTCAGTGGTTAGGGTGATGGCCACATACACTAGGGCTGGTGGGTTCGAACCCAGGCCAGGAAAGCTTTGAACCCAGGCCAGGAAAGCTAAAAAACAATGACAACTACAACAACAAAAACATAGCTGGGCATTGTGTCAGGTTCCTGTAGTCCCATCTACTTGGGAGGCTGAGGTAAGAGAATTGTTTAAACCCAAGAGTTTGAGGTTGCTGTGAGCTATAATGTCACAGCACTCTACTGAGGGTGACATAGACTCTGTCTCCAAAAAGAAAAAAACAAAGAAGGAGGTGGGGCTTTTGGGAGGTAGGTCATGGGCTGGAGCCTTTGTGAATGGGCTCATGCTCCTTACTGAGAGCTCTCAAGCCCCCTTACCGCCAGATGAGGGCATAAGGAGAGGGAGACAGTCGCAACCTGCAAGAACCCTCCCAGAACCCTACCCTGATCTCAGACTTCTGGGCTCCAGAACTGTGAGAAGTAAACGTCTCTTGCTTATAAGCTGCACAGTCTGTGGAACTTTGTCACAGCATCCTGAAGGCACTGAGCCAGGGAGCTGTGGCAATGGCTGAGTAAAATAGACCAGTGGGATTTTCCTCTTGGCTTTCCAATGCTTTGATTTTGTGCCTTTGTATTATGGAGACCAAAAAATTTAACAATGAAATGTGAAGCCTGCAACTTCTGTGGTCCTCAAGGGTCCTGCAAGTCTTGACAGCCAGACACAGTCGGGTGCTGCTGCTTCATGCTATAGTTGCTGTGGGTCACAGCCAGCCTGACACTCGGCAGCAAAGTGACAGGAGGTTTGTTTAGAGCTAACAGATGTCTCTGTGCTGTTCCCTTTGATCCGGGCATGCCAGCTTGTAAGGTGTCTCACGGTAACTGTCACTTTCTGTTTCAGGCTTTGTCAGATGGGTGTGGCATGGGAGTGTGGTTTCTCCTTAGGGTGGGCCCCAACAAGAGCCTCCAAATCTCCCAAAATTTATGGACAGTTGGAGGAGGCAGGCTGACAGTGAACTTGCATAGTGAGAGAGTGAATGAGTGGGTGCAGGGTGACCAGGACCGATGCTAACCCTTGATGAATTAATGGTGGGCAGAGTGTCACTGAGCTCCTGGCCACTGCACAGGGCATGTGGTGGTGACCATGAATGAGAAGATAAATGGGAATATTTTGCAATGGTCTATGAGGGCTCCTCCTAACAGTCTGGGATGCTGTGTTGGCAAATGGGTTAGAAATTCACATTTGAGTAAGAAGTAGTAAATATGCTTCACATGCAACGGAGTGATATGCACCTTGCCCCTTAATTATCGTGTGTCTCTGTCACATACAGCTCATAGAAGACTGGCAGGTGGGCACTGAGCCCTTAAACGGCATCAGAATTGTACCCCTGGCTCTGTGGTTGTCTTTCAGCATCATCATATCTCACGGCAACCTCAAACTCCTGGGCTCAACCTATCCTCCTGCCTCAGCCTCCCAAATTGCTGGGACTACAGGTGTACCACTACACCTAGTGAATTTATGTATCATTTTTTGTAGAGCCAGCGTCTCACTCTTGCTCAGGCTAGTCTTAAACTCCTAGCCTCAAGGGAGCCTTCCACCTTGGCCTCCCAAAGTTCTGGGATTACAAGTGTGAGCTGCTATGTCCAGTCTAAAAGAAGATTTTGAATAGCTATTTACAGCTAAGAACCTTGCTAGGACACACCGTTGTCAACTGTTTCCATTTCTAACACCCTTTATAGTGCTAAAATTGTTTAAGAAATCAAGAGCAAAAGATCAAAAAGAGAAACAGAAATCAAGAACAAAAGAAATAAAAATAAATACAGTGGGGCTGCTCCCTTGAAGGTTTCTTCCATCCTTATAATGCTCACCTTATTATAGTAATTTAGAAATATGGAAAATCAAGACTTCCCAAGGCTAAGAAATGCAAAAAAAAAACCCCAGGTTTTAGTAAGGCTTCATGTGGTTCTGTTGCAGAGGGCTAAGGTTGATCCTTCAGGTTTTGTAAAAGGGATTGAGGCTGCGGAATCTATGTTTCCAAGTCATCTGTCCCAGAGTCTTAATACCTGCAAATACCCCAAATGTAAGGGGAAAAATGGGCAGAAAAAAGTATTTATGTTTCATACCTATTTAAGGCATATTTGTGTCTTATACAGAGGGGCTGTTGAAATACTGAGAACTGGAATGATTGCCTCAGGCAACAAACTTTTCACTGAGCTCATGCTCCCTGCTCGACCCTTTACTAGGACTGGGTGGGAGAGGAAGGAAATCACCTGTGTGTCCTCATAAGGTTCTGAGTTGTAAAACATACATATGGTAAGTGCTGCTGCTTGGGGTCCACACTGCTGGGCAAAGGCTTACACAGGCAGTAGGGGACTCTGCTGGCTATTGCCGAAATTATTCAATACTAAGCTTCTTATATATGTTGGGACTCTTGATGAAGCCGATAGAATAATTCAGACCAGCTCAAGGAAGAATGTGAAATTTAAGGTAATGGAAAATCAATTGAAAAAGCTTCTGCACAGCCGGATTCAGGTGCTCTGTGTCCACAGGAATCTGTCTCTCATCATGTAAGTTCTGCTTTCCTCTGTTTTGCTTTATTTTCAGGAAAATCTCCACCCAGGTGGTGGCCGCAGCAGTTCCAGACAGTTTCCCCGCACTCAGAGGGAGAAGGACCGGCTCTGCTCAAGAGCTCTAGCTGACGTTCTGGGAGATGTTCTCATCAGCGGTGTTTGGGTTCCTGCCCCTCCTTGAAGCCATTGTCACAGTTCTGTGGTGTCCAAGTGACCCTGTCCAGGCCAGGGTCAAGCCCCACTCCTCCACCTGCGAACTGGAGGTCAAACCTGAAACATGGACTGAGGGGTGGAGGGAAAATGTTCCGGAAAGGAAAATGGGTCCTGTTACCAAAAGAAAGGGAAAGGAATGCTGGGTAGAGAAAAATAACAGGTGTGCACCAGGGTGCTTGTCTTACTCTGTTTTCTGTTGCTGCAACAGAATATGTTAGACTAGGTAATTTATAAAGGAAGAAAGTTTATTTGGCTCACCATTCTGGAGCCTGAAAAACATGGTGCCAGCATCTGGCAAGGCTCATTCCATGATGGAAAGACAACAGTGGAAGAGAGTGCACATGTGACAGAGGTGTGACAGAGGCAAAACCCAGGGGCAGCCTCACTCACCACAGCCCGCTCTGGAGGGTTCTCTAGCTAATCCAGTCCTGCTCTCACTACTATGGTCCAGAGAGAGTGGTATTCGCCCATCTTAATGACCTAGTAACTTCTTAAAGGCCCTAAATCCCAAGATCACTGGACTGGAGAATAATTTCCAACACAGGAATTCTGGGGGACGTAGTGGTGCTCATGTTCATGGAGTCCCATAATCTCTTATAAGCTACATCTGTGGCCAAGATCCAGACTGGCCTTAGGACCCAACATCTCCAAGCATCAGGCTGCATGTGGTCATTCTGTGACATTTTCCCCCTACCATATCTCAAGGTTGTTTCATGGTTTCAGTAGGTCTTTAAAAACATATGTGTAGGCCGGGCACAGTGACTCATGCCTGTAATCCCAGCACTCTGGGAGGCCGAGGCCGGTGGATTGTCCTGAGCTTACAAGTTTGAGGCCAGTCTGAGCAAGACCCTGTCTCTAAAAGTAGCCGGGTATTGTGGTGGGCACCTGCAGTCCCAGCTACTTGGGAGGCTGAGGCAAGTGGATTGCTTGAGCCCAAGAGTTGGAGGCTGCTGTGAGCTATGATGCCACAGCACTCTACTGAGGGTGACAAAGTAAAACTTTGTCTCAAAATAAATAAATAAACATATGTACAAATGTAAATGATCATGGTAAAAAAATTCACATAGAAAATACTACAAAATGAAAAAGAAAAGTCTCACCAATTCCCTAACCACCAGTCTCCATTCCCTAATATAACAAAAAGGTATGGATTTCTAGAAAATTTCTCTCTAAAAACAAGTACCTGCCTATCTACCTACAGATCCACATATCTGTCTAATATTTTCCTTATTTCTTCTTTAACAAGTTGTTTATTATTGCATATTATGCAGATTGCTCTGCAACATGGTTTTTCATTTAATAATATTCTTGGTATCTTTCCATATCAACATATAAGGATTCTTTTTAGCAGCTGTATAATAGTCCATAAGTCCATGTACTATATATTTAATCATTTTCCTATTAATGGACATATTCATGCTTATGTTTCAAACAATTCTGCCATGGACATTCCTACACACACAGCTTAGTGTACTTTTGCAATTATATCTGTAAGCTAAATTCCTAGAAGTGAAATAATGCATTCAAAGATATGTGTGCAATTACAGACCACAAAATGCCATTTTGGTCAACAGTGGACTGTATATACAGTGGTCATGTAGGATTATAATGGAGTTTTTGGCTTTTGGCTGGGAGCAAGCCTAGGTGCAACTTTGTTTGGTCGTCTGAAATCCGAGTTCATCCTCAGCCGCCTCCACCATGCTGCCTAAGTTCAACCCCAATGAGATCAAAGTCATGTTCCTGAGGTGCACCAGTGGCGAAGTTGGTGCCACATCTGCCCTGACCACTAAGATCGACCCTGGGTTTGTCTCCAAAAAAGGTTGGGGATAACATTGCCAAGGCAACTGGTGACTGAAAGGGTCTGAGGATTACAGTGAAACTGACTATCCAGAACAGACAGGCCCATATTAAGTGGTACCTTCTGCCTCTGCCCTCATCATCGAAGCCCTCAAGGAATCACTGAGAGACAGAAAGAAACAGAAAAGCATTAAACACAACAGGAATATCACTTTTGATGAGATTGTCAACATTGCCAGACAGATGAGACATCAATCCTTAGCCAGAGAACTCTCTGGAACCGTTAAAAAGATCCTGGGAACTGTCCAGTTCGTGGGCTGCAATGTTGATGGCCGCCACCCTCATGACATCATAGATGACATCATCAGTGGTGCCGTGGAAAGCCCAGCTAGTTAAAAAGTACAAGGGAAAATAGTGGAGGAAGGAGAGGGGAAGCGGGGGGAGTCCAGGAGGATGGAGGGCATTTGGCATTTGGACCTCACTTAATGTGCAAAATGCAAGGGTACATGCCAAAACTATTAAGAGTAGAGTATAGGCTCAGTGCCTGTGGCTCAAGCAGCTAGGGCGCCAGCCACATACACCTAGGGTGGCGGGTTCGAATCCCCAGCCCGG